ACTGTAATTTGTAGAGCTGCAACTAATGGTTTTCATAATTGATTAGATGGTCGATTTTTTTTTTTTCTTTTTTTTTTCATTTTTTTTAAATCTTTGCGATTAATTGGATAAAAAAAATAATTACCTTCCTTTTAATTTAAAATAAAATACACAAATGCTGTGTTGCCAACATAAGGTTTACTTCAGAATAACACTGCATGTACTATTTGTTTTACAATCGCACTGGAATGCACAGCATTGCAGTACCGTGCGTTCCAGTGCGGGCGATCACACTATGTGGGAGGCGGGTTTGGGGTGCTATTGAAATGAATGGCACTGCGATGCACCTTCCGCAGCAGAATTTGTCAGGTCGAAACCATAATTTACTTTTTTTTTTTCTACCATTTTTATTTGAATAACTATTGTAAGCACAAGCCGCTTGAATAGCTTCTGTCGGGGAATGGTAGCTCAATGTAAATACAGCGGGTAGTGGGCTGGTGCAATAGCCAGCCTGCTATTGGCCGTTTCAAATTGCAATAGCAGGCTGGCTATTGCAACCGCCCACTGCTTGCTGTGCCCTCCTCCCAGCGTGGAGGAGAGAGCTAGGGGATCCAACCAACTAATCGATAATGAGGATAGTTGACAACTATTCTCATCAATTATTATTTGGTTTCAGTCCTGGTAATTTGGGTTGTATGTATTGGTGCAGACCGGTTTTTGCATTACTCTACAATGATTGTACTTTACTACTTCTTGTCACAATACAAGTCTGTGTTTACTGACCTGAAAACCATACAGCCAAGTCTGTCCCAGGGTCTGCTATTGATTCCACAGTGTCAAATGCTGAGCCTTCATATAAGAAGTATCCCTTACAAACAAAATATTATGGCTAAACATTGTAACATTTGTTTGCACAAAGAATGTATATAATTACAGCTGAACTGCAGGCAGATATAAAGGTGCAAATAAACTCAGATCTGTATTTGCTAATACATTACATGTATTTTCTGAATGCAAGTACCTGGATATGGCTAGGTATCAGTCTCTTGCAGTCTACAGTACAGTCTGTGGAGCAGAGCCCAGAGATTGGGAGGGAGAAGCAGCAGAATAATCAAATCGGGTGTGCTGCAGTGCAAGAAATAATGTTGATAGGAGTAGACAGTAGAGTAACTGACATAAATTCCTCAGTGTGCTGCTTCTCCTTTCACTGTACCAGTGCGATGAGGGGACCTGTAAGTGAAACTGTAGCGGAGAAAGATCAGGTCCCCTTTTTTGTTGTCAGGTGGGGCTGTGATGTGCGAGTAAATCTTAGGACTGGATTGAACTGCTCTCTTGTATGTATTTAATGTGTCCTGATCAGTTTCAAAATCAAAATGGCCAAGAACCACTCCAGTAGTTTTCTTAGAGAGTGGCTTGAGAAGTGTGTGTTCTCAATATTAGGAGTGCATCTAGAGGGGATAAATCAAGGACCTGCCATTCCTCTATGTACATGGTTGTAGTAAATAATTTTTTTGTTTTGTCTTCCTCCCCTTGGTTTAGGTCACAAGTGAGTGACAATGTCTTCCCAACCGTCAGCCATTGCCAGCAAGAAGGAAGACAAGGGAAAGAATATCCAGGTGGTGGTGAGATGCAGGTATGTTGTGGGAATCATTTAGGTTCAATGTCATCTCACACTCTGTCTAGTTTTCTGTTCCAAGTATGTCAAGCCAAAATCCGAGTCATAGAGGGAAAGGATTAGAACCCCTGTCTGGTCATTACTGTTATCCGGTGGTCCAGATTTTACTTTCTATCATGGTAACAAGTCTCACCAGACAATTGAGGGAAAATCTCTTTAAAGCGGGGGTCTCAAACCTCCGGCCCTCCAGCTGTGGTGAAACCACAAATCCCATGATCCATCTCTCTTCGGGAATCATGTCTGTGGCTGTGAGAATCTTGCAATGCCACATGGGATTTGTAGTTTCACCACAGCTGGAGTTTTGAGACCCCTGCTTTAAAGTATGTATGTATGTATGTATGTATGTAGCTGGCCCCTTGAAGCGGTTATACCAAGAACACGTCTATGGCTTACCGTTGTAAACAGCCAGAGATGGCTATTCAGATACAAGCGATGCGGCGGCTATACGGGCGCTGGATCGTTTGTACCAAACTGCGGAGTGTGCCCACCTCTGCTTCTGCTGTCCCCAATGCGGACCCGGGACTGGCACAGCCGGTCTCCCTGCATCGATCGGAGGGAGGGATCTCTCCGTTCACTAGACCCAGAAGTGATGTGTATTGCATCACTTCCAGTGTTACTGTTTACATTCTCCGGCTCTTAAAGCCAGGAGAAGAAGCTGGGGAAGCAGATTTGTGCTTCATCAGCTTCTTTGGGGTCCCTAGGTGACATTGGGGGTCTGGAAGACCCCTGATGTCCCCATAAAGAGGACCTGCTGCATCATATTTGCTATAACATAGGGGGCTTGTTAGCCTCTATGTGATAGCAATAAGGTTAAGTGTAAAAAATGAAAGTAACATATATTTAAAAAAACTGCAAAACATTTTAAAGCCCCCACCCCCACGTACATAGAAGCGCAAACGCATGTCCGGTGTGTCTACACGCAAAAACTAATTTGTGCCACACATGTTCCATATCGCCACGAACGTCTGAGTGAGCGCAATCATTCTAGGGCTATGAATCACTCATCACTAACCTGATGAGCAGTAAAAGCTTTTAAAGCGTCGCCTGTGGAAAATGCTGGGTTTTCTATTTTTTTGCGTTTCACAGACGCACATTCAATTTTAAGGCTTAATATGTTTGGTATCTATTTCCCTGATGTGACCCCATATTTTATATTTTACCAAAAAATTGGGTATTCTGTTTCTGTGCCCTAAATTTGATTTAATTGTATTTTGTCCCAAAAATACTGTTTTGTATTGCAAATATTGTATTGAAAATCTATAATTGTTTGGGGGTCTGAAGCTGTTTTCTAGCCATAAATTCAGATTTTATCTTGTGTGCAAATGGTAAGAAAATGCCCCAGGCAGCAAGTGGTTAACTAAACATATTTTCCATCATACAGACCTTTCAATCAGTTGGAGCGCAAGGCTAACTCCCATTCTGTGCTGGAATTTGATGCTGTGAGGAAAGATGTGTCAGTACGGACTGGAGGAATCAACGACAAGCTGGGGAAAAAGAACTACCTGTTTGATATGGTAGGTGGCTGGCAAATCTATGAAGAGTCTTAAAGTGCATTTCCACTTTTGCAGGCAAAATTGAGAAAACTCCACTATGTTATGTATTTCTGTTCACACAGCATACATGTGAATGAGAAACATGTAACACGTATGTAAGGGGTTATCCCAATGTGGCTGCAAAAGGGGAAATGCACTTTAACCACCGGACAGCGGCTTCTTGAATGCGGGTGGGCGTTTTTAAACGTCCTGCCCCGCTCGTGCCCGCCGCAAGGCGGCACGCACGAGCGTCAAATCAGCCTGGAATGTAAACAGCCAGCGATGGCTGTTTACATACAAGCGTTCAGAGACACCCGATTGCTTGTAATATGCGTGCAGGTGTGCGCCCCCCCTCCGCTGCTGGCGATCCCGAGCTCCGGTGTGAGCCCGTAACCAGCACAGCAGCTCTGTGGCCAGAGATCAGTACATGTCTCTTGCTTCCGTGCCAGATTCAAGTACCGTAAGGCATTGCAAGACACTGACAGCCGCAGGCATGACCTCTAGAGGCAGGAGCATGGTGGAAATTGTAGTTTTACCACAGCTGGAGGGCTTAAGTTTGGCTACCCCAGGGCCAATGAAGGGGCAGGCATAGAGCACATGTCATCTCGCCCACCAAAATACTTCTAGCACGGACCCTGCACATTGGGTTCACTGGTGCATGTGTGAATAGATTACCATATTATCTTCTGTTTTCTGCAGGTTTTTGGTCCATCTGCTAAACAAATTGAAGTGTACAGGAGTGTTGTGTGTCCCATCCTGGATGAAGTTATTATGGGTTATAACTGCACCATTTTTGCGTGAGTACTACTTTCAGCATGCAGTATTTATTTCTGTTGCACTATACCAATAGAATATAAAATATGAACTAATATGATATATAGATAAGCTATGAGTGGTGTATAATTCAGGACATCTTCTTTTCTCTAGCTATGGTCAAACTGGTACCGGTAAAACCTTTACTATGGAAGGAGAGAGGTCGGCAGAAGGAGAGTTTACATGGGAAGAGGTATGTGTATCCTGCCTTGTCGGCTGGTTTTTAGTAATGTGCATTACATACCCTGGGGGCGGGGGGTTATAGGGAGCAAAGATGATGCTCAATTCAATAAGGTGAATTAGTTATTTTAATTCCACAATTCATAATTTCCTCCTAATCTTTCTCTTCCATTCATTGAAGGACACATCAGAGATCTTCAGATCTTGGCCATTTTGTTAATGCACAGCCTAGGGGTGGCCTGTACTGGTGGCCAAACCCCCAGCTAGAAGAAGCTCTGTTTTGTTTTTTTTGCTTAGTGTCAAGGAATAAGGACTCATCTCCCTGTTGGGGGTTTTAGTTCTTTCTTTTTTCTTGTGCATCGACTTTGTCTTAAATATCTATCTTGGGTTATGTTTCCCCGTTAAATGGGCCCTTAACTTATTTTCTCATGAATCATTATTACCACTTCAAATGGCTAATTTTTTTTTTTTTCAAACTTCCCAAACATTAGCCGTTAAAAGTTGGTTTTCACTTGCCTGATGATGCGATTTAAACAAGTGATCATATAATCTCTGTAGTAATCTTTCTGATTTTACATTAACAGCTGTTAAGAATAACTGTGATGGTATTAGCACTTGTAGTGGGAAAACACCATTACTTACAGAGCAGGCTAAAAAAAGCAAATTCCTCCATCTAGTGGCAATTTTAAAATATACAGCTGATCAAGTCTAAGCAGGCCCCCGCCAAGATTCACTTATGTGGGGGGTTAATAAGGGTGTAAGGTGGGCTAAGTAACATCAGCACTACAGCAGCTGTGGAACTAAAAGTCCCACGAGGCACTGCAAGAATCAGACAGGCACCCAGAGGCATGATGGATTTTTTAGTTTCAACACAGCAGGAGTGCCGAGGTTGCCTACCACTGGTGTAAAAACGGTAAAAAAGGCGAGCGCACAACTGTTATGCAATGTGGCAAGAGGAATAGATCTGTTTAAAATAATTTTTAATACTAAACAATACCGGAACAATTTAGAAGCAAAAACAAAAGTTAAAACGAATTTTTAAAACGAATTCTTAAAAATTAATTAAAGAATGGGGTGAGCCAGCTTCTCGTTCAGGGGGAGGGACCCTGCAGACACATGTAAAAAGGAGGATGGAAAGAAGCGCTGCAACCCTGGGATATTGTGGGGATAGATAACAACTTTAAAAACTTTAAAAACAATACTGGACTGAAAACTCACTGTTTGGGTGGACCAGATGAGGTCTTGCAAATCAGGAGAAAGGCTGTATGGATCGCTCAGCAGTGTCTTCGGGCGATCGGTGTGGATGTGGTAAACGGGCCAAACGTAGTAATGGTGGACGTAGTAATGTCCTGCCGGTGAGGGGTATGGGTTTGGAAGTATCTGGTTTGGTCCCCTGATGGTGGAGGAGAGGTAGTGGTGACAGCTAGGAGGCTCCTGTGGCTGGAGCGCAAGAATTTGCCGTCCTGTAGCCTTGTTTGTACAGAGGCTCTGCACTGAGGGTGTTCGTGCCGTCCAATACCGTGGGAGATCAGCTGGCCAGGCCGAGACCCGACGGCTGAACGGGAGCGAGAGTGCCGCTCTGTAGCGGTTTGGAAAACTGTCAGCAGTCGTTGTGACAGATCGTTTTTGGAGACAGGCACGGGGCTGGAAACCAGTGCGGTCTATCTCGCTGGGTGATGGGAATGTCAATCGGGCAATTTGGCTACGCGTTTCGAGGTTCAAGACCTCTTTGTCAAGCCAGAGGTCTTGACAAAGGAGGCCATACTCTGCTCGAATGTCGATGTTCAAGCTGTAGATGACTTGTCTGCACCACCTGGCTCAACAAACTTCAAATGAAAAAGCGAAGGAGTTGGGTGGAAAATTGTCAGCCAAATAGTGACTGCAGCCTATTGGGTTGCAGTAACTGTTTGGGTATTTAGGAAAACCTGCCTGTGCCTGCTTTTTGAATACAATGGCTAGCAGGTGAGATTACACCTTCCATGCTTATCTAGTGTGGATTGATTTTTATCTCATTCAGCCTGTGAAATGGCTAGCCTTAGCCACTGGGCTCATAAACCTATATAAAGTCACATGATTTATCATTAACATTTTGAAGGGAAATGGTTACTGTAGCCCTCTGAGATCTTCTCTGTGTCAGTCTAAGATTTACATTGTTGATATAAACTGCATTCAGCTTTACACTGGAAAGTCCAGATCATTTGCACCTCCTCTGCATGGGATGGACTAATTTGCGGATGAGGATTACTGCTCTTCCTATTCTGTCTTCATGTAATGGTGACTCTATGCATTGATGGGACACCTTTTTTTATACATGGGTTATATCCTTCTCCCTAGGACCCTCTGGCAGGCATAATCCCTCGAACCCTTCATCAGATATTTGAGAAGCTTTCAGAGAACGGCACCGAGTTCTCAGTAAAAGTGTCTCTGTTGGAAATCTACAATGAGGAGCTGTTTGATCTTCTAAGCCCATCACCAGATGTTGGAGAACGACTGCAGATGTTTGATGATCCCCGAAACAAGGTGCCATTATTTTCATTGTACCCTATATGTCAGCCGATGAATTTCTTTACAGACTAGATGATTGGTTTTCAAGATATGTGGTATATCTATCTCCAAGGGTACATTTGACAGGTTCATGGACTCCTACCACAGCTGTCAGTTCCTGTAAAGCCCCTTGGATCATCAGCCCAGGCTGTGCACAGGACTTTTCATTTTTCCAAGTTAAGACCAAGCCTCCCTCATTAACTTGTCCCACTGTCTGAATTTTCACAGGCCTTAGAGGTCTGGCATTTGACGGCTGAAGGATCAGGGTGGGGCTTTGTGTTTAGTAAGGTGCAGGACTTGATCTCAAAGTATGCAGAAGGTGAGCTCTATTTTTTTAGATGTACCTAGTATACAAAGAACTTCAAAGGGACTGTTCTGAGTGCAATCACAGATAGTGTCAGATGGCATACCATTACTTAAACCACTTCTTGTATAATTAACACAGATTAAATGGTTCTTCCTGAGTATTTGCAATAATGAATGAGTTAGCCTGGGCAACAGATGTGCTGGACTTTTGACAGTTTTAATAAAGTTTTGGATTTGACAAGAACAAAAGTTTGTTAAAGGACACTTATGTGGATTTCATATATGCAACTCTGACTCCATTTGGGCTCTATTTACTCTGCATGCACGTGTTGTGTGGTCCTTTTGTAAGATGTATTGTTTTCTATCCATGCTGTTTATTCTGTACTGTTGAAGGAAATCTAAAGCACTTTGTATTGCAGAGAGGAGTGATAATCAAAGGATTAGAGGAAGTAACTGTACACAATAAGGATGAAGTTTATCACATCTTGGAGAGGGGCGCAGCCAAGAGGACTACTGCTTCTACTTTGATGAATGCTTACTCCAGGTATGTAGAAGCATTTCTCAATGTCTCCTTGGCTCTTACATATTCGCTTTTGCTGTCCTTGTTTCCTTTTTGCATTTTAAAGATGACTTTCTGACCTTTTTTTTGGTTGCACTTACCTATGTGTTTTCTGCATGATTAACTTTATTCTTTCCTTTGCAGTCGTTCTCACTCCGTGTTTTCAGTCACGATCCACATGAAAGAGATGACTGTTGATGGAGAAGAGCTGGTTAAAATTGGCAAGCTAAATTTGGTAAGCTTCGTATTTTTGTTTTTCTGCTGCCATACTTTGAAAACTGTTCTGAGATCCACAAGGATGCCACTAGTTTAACCCCTTCGTGACGGGAGACGTACAGTGTACGTCTTGTCACTTTGTGCCTATATGACTGGCCACGTACACTGTACGTGACGAGTTATATCAGGCTTTGTAATGCCGGTATTTGCTGATTCTCAGCATTTAACAGTCATTCATTAATGTCTCAGTATTGAGGCATTAATTAATGAAATAATTAAGCTTTTTGTAAAAGCTTCTTCCTTTCATTAATGAAAGAATGAAGCCGTTACATGCAAATAGAGGACCGCAATTTGCGATCCCGTATTTGACAGCTCAAAATAGCAGAGAGGCAGCAGTGACTCACCTCACCTCTCTGCTATTTGTTTTGACAGTTCGAGAGCCCGATGTTTAGATACATTTCACTGAAAGAATACAATGTATCTCTTTTGAGTGAAATGTATCATTTCTGATCGTCTAGGCACGATCAAAGAGCTTTTAGTGAGATCTGAATCTGACTAAAGTCAGGATCAGTCTCTAAGGTTATTATTAGCTGTTCCTAAGTTTGGATCAGCCTAATAGCCAAAAATAAAATAAAAAAGTTAATTTATCAAGCTGTCATAGT